AATCATGAGCTAGTTGCAGTTCACAGGTCTTATTTTCCGAGCCAGCTATAATCAGACCAAAACCCCTCAAAACGTGAACAAGAGAAGAACCACTAAGTACAAGAACTGCAAAAGCAAACACTCAAAAGCTCGTGGCAGAGGGAGCTGATGAGAACGCACAGAATAATTTAACAGAATTTGTGCAAAGCAAAAAACTGGCAACTCCCCTCCCCCCCAAAAAGTACAAACTGTTTCCACAACTTTACTGTCAGCTTGAAGTTTAAAAACAAAAGATTTTATATTCTAGCAGGATGAGAACATGACAGAGCTATGTATGTAAAGGAAAATCAATGTAGCAATACTAAAGGCAAAGGAATAGAATGTAATCCAAGAGAAGCAAGACTTGCCTCCTAAAATTTAGTCTTATTTGGAATTTGTACACTTACACTAAACTTAAGGGAGAAAAAAAGTCACCCATTTCTGAACATACCTGCATTCTGTATCAAAAATAATATAAGAAATAGACCAGGAGTTAAATTATAGTTAGAAAAGGGGAGAAAAGTAAGGTAGGACATTAAAATTTTATTCTGAAATTATCTCTGGCCACGACAATAAAATTTAACAAATATTCACTGAACAGTCTTACTCCTGTCTTCAGCTGTACAATACATACAGTATCATAGAACTGGCCACTAGGATTAAAATCCACTAGAACATATTTCATGTTAAGTGGCGACAGCAGCATCTCACAGAAATTTTTACATACATATATACAGTCCACATTCAACCAGTTTCACATATTTTCAGTACACACAGTTGCAGCATATTACAGTCACATGTCTAAGTTGTTGCTCGAAAAAAACCCAAGCCACTGCCTAGACATTACTGTAGCAGTTGAGCTGAGTATAATTACAATTTTTATATATGTCCATAGCAGAGAGATGTACAAGCCCCTAAGAAACAGAGTTCACAAATACTTTGATTTTAATGCTACCACAGCATTATGTTGGGCAATATTAAAATCTTTTCCAACCCAATCAGTTTTTTTTTAAAAAGTCTTCTGCTTACCAGAAATATTTTTGATGAAAAAAATTACAAAAATGAATGCTCTTTAAAATAATTCACACTTTTAAGATTCCAATATGGCCCAATGCTACTGATGCCTAAAGTGTTTCCTATCATTCTGAGGAAGTCCTTGCACGGGACTCCAAACCACCCATTAAGTTTAAAAGTGGCTTAAGTGCCTTGCACCCAAATTGTAAAAATCCCTGGCCATCCTTACTAGAGCCAGGCACATAGAAAAAGGAATGCACTTTGGTTCATACCAAATGCCCTGGGATTAATCACACTATAAAATTAAACGGTTTGAGGTAAATTTATACAAATACAGTCGACTTTTGTCTAGTGTTACCATAACAAAAAAATATTATTTAAAAAATCAGTTAGATGTTAAGATACAACAAAGACCATCTTTAACCCCTTAAATATAGGAATGCCCTGTGCAAATAACCAAGGGTTACCTTTTTCAGTGCCGGATGATTAATTTATGCCTTATGGTTTCTATTAAGGCCTATAAGTAACTGGATATTTAAGACAGATGTATCTTTGCAGAGATGTATTCCATCCTTACTGCCTAGTATTCAAAGAGTTAAAGAGGCAAAAAAATGCATGCCCTACAACATGGCATCAAGAACAAAAGGCACATTGTTAACACGAAGGGCACGATTTCTCCTCTCCTGTTAATCTACACTGTCTTGCATCACTGTTGTTCCGTGGTTGTAGGAATACACTTAAGTGGTAATGATCCCTCTGGTGGTGCAAGAAACGGAGCCAGATGAGACTGCAACCGAGGACAAAATGACACTGTGCTATTCCAAAATCTGAAAATAGCTCAGACATCCCTAGACAATGGTAACCTGTGAGACCAAGGACTGTTTCCAAGCCAACTCCTAGTAGCCTATCAGAGCCCTTCACTTATGCTTTAACGTAAGACGCAACATTTTTTTTCCATTTTTGACAACTGTAATTAAACTAGATTTTTTTTTTAAGTAGCTCTATCACTAAACACTGAACATGGCAGCTCTTGTGAGGGAAAGTTTACCATATCAGAAGGAGGGAGGAGACGCCCCATTGCGTTGCACAGAATAGTTTGGCTTAAAAGTTTCCGGTTGCATTTGTGAATTAACCACAGTAACAAATGCATTGTTGGCATATTAAGGATCAGTTTTGTGTGGTAAGGGGAAGACAGTAGTGTTAGCCCATTTAGAAATTTTTGTATGTAATTTCATTTGATAGGGAATTCATATTAATGGTAGGCTCAGGTTCATAGCTTTAAAAACTAAATGAGAATTCAATTATCTAGCATCTGCCTTTTCGGCAGGTTTGAGTGGTGGCGGGAAAATTCAAAATAATGGTGGTGGGAAGGTGTAATGGTGGTGGAACTGGTGTCAAAATATTGAATGTAATCCATTTTTGTGAACAACTTTATGAAAATTTAAAAAAAAAACCAACAAAAAAACTAAATGAGAATCTAGAGGAGCAGATATCGAAGGGGAAACTGCTAAGAGGAAACAGGCTTTATGTTTGTTGATTTTAATGAGCTAAAAAAGCTAACCATTATTAAGCAGTTTAAGGTTGTACATAGCCACCATACCAAGTCTTACACTTGTTATGTCTTTAAGTCAAATGTTTAATAAATAATCTTTCAATTCTATTAAGCCACTGATGGGGTATCATCACATGAGCATTACTTAAAATGCAACTAACATATTATTGCACTTCCACAGATGACACAGAAATGGGGACACTATGCTAAAGAACTGGTAAAGGGAAAAAAGATATCATTTCTAGATCCAGAAGCACAAATTAACTTATCAGTGACATCCTTAAATAGTAAAGCAAACAACAACAGCACTATCTTATTAATAAGCTAGTTTTTATTACTGGTTTTTGGCAAATATCTGTAATATTTCCTGAGCATTTTTCTCCACCATCAACTGACAAAGCCTCAAGGTAAGTGAAGTGTTTTATTCAAAACTTTTTTTTTCTTTTTAAGAGGAACGGATTAAAAGAAAACCGGAAACTTTCTTGGCCTCACTGGGGACCATGCTTTAAGTACTTTTAAATCAATTTACAGGCAATACAATAATATCAGTACATATAAAAGGTTTATCTTAATTTATACTACCCCAAACCTATTGTCCAAACAGGCAGAAATCTTTCTAAATTGCACATACTAAAAAAATTTTTTTCATGTGCCTTTGTGAAATTGATAGATATCACTGCTCATACATTAGATAAAATACTGAAGTTTTCACTGTGAAAATAATTATTATTCAGAGAAGAAAATATCTTTTACTTAACCCGCAGTTAATTTTCCATGTAAAGTGTCATTACCACAAAAACAATCAGTGCAATTCAAAAGAAAAGTAAAATAAAAGAGGGATGGGATGTCTGTGGGTTTTCCAAGGATGCAAAGATTAAGTCAAACCATTTAACTTGAAATTGAACTTTTCCATTTTTATATTTGTTGTTAACATTTTAACCATTGTTAATTGTTCTTACTGAACAGTCACAATGACCTGTTCATCAAGAGGATTCTGAATCTTCTTCTGTTCTAAAGTGGGTAATTTCCCAGGTTAAGAGAATCGGACAGTGGCACCTGAAAACTGTGAACTACTCACTCGAATCTGTTTAAACCTTTAGATCTACAGAAACCCCCACCTTTTAGTAGTAGCTAGGCTGCTGTTCTTTTTCACACTGGAATATGAAACGATGGTCATCATCACAGCTGAAATGTATTTTTCATATTAATAGTCTGGAATATATATTTGAAGAGGAAAAATAAAAGTCCCTAAATGCAAGCAACAGATGTGTGGTAAAAGAGGAACAGAGAAGAGAAAAGTAAAGAGAAGGAACAGTTCATGGAATACATTTCTAAATTTAGGTACCAAACCAATTCTGTAACAGGAGGCTTCCTTTCAAAACAGCTCACTCATTACATTAGAAAATTTGGAGGAATACACACATTTCCACTTATCCATCAGGTCTGTGTGGTTGACTGTCAGAAAGTCAGAATGCTAACTGGGCGTTTAAACCTTGGGGGATCTGGTTTTGTTCCGGGGGTGGGGGAAATCCCTAAGGTGGGATATCTTGTTTTTTTTTTGTTTTTTTTTTTTTTTTTTTTTTTTTTTTTTTCCCCCTTTATTTTATTTTATTTTTTTTAAAGTTGTAGATTTACAATTTTTTGTGCTTTGGTTTCAATTATACAATGATCAGATACCCATCCCTCCACCAGTGCCCATTTTCCACCACCATGGATAATATCCCTCCCACCCCCATCCCCCCATCCCCCCGTCTCTGTGGCAGGGCAATCCCCTGTGTTCTCTCTCTCCTTTTGGGTGTTGTGGTCTGCAAAAGAGGCATTGAGTGGCAAACATGTTCAGTCCATAGTCTACTTTCGACATGCATCTCCCCTCCTGGGAGGATCCTCCAAACATCCTTTATTTGGTGCTCCCTTCTCTATCTGAATAGCCCTTTCCTCTAGGATACCCGGCTGGCCTCTAAGTTATGGAGTAATCCTCCTGGTGCTGATCTCAGCTATTCTTGGGTATTAATCTCATACTTTGTTACTTTATATCCCCCAGATGAATGCAATCTTTCTATGTCTATCCCTCTCTTTCTGACTCATTTCGCTTAGCATGATACTTTCCATATTGTACCACTTGTATGTAAATTTCATGACTTCATCTTTTCTAAGAGCTACATAGTACTCCATTGTGTAGATGTACCAAAGTTTCTTTAACCAGTCATCTGTTCTTGGGCATTCAGGTTTCTTCCAGTTTCTGGCTATTGTAAAGAGGGCTGCAATGAACAAACAAGTGCAGATGTCACTTCGACTATACATTTTTGCCCCTCTGGGATATATTCCCAGGAGTGGTATTGCTGGGTCAAATGGGAGCTCAATTTAAGGTGGGATATCTTAAGATGTCATTTTGTACTAATCATACTCATTCCCATCATTGCTACCACCCCAAAGACATACAGGGAGCGGAAGCAGGACATGCTACACTTGTGTATGAAGGTGGGGTCTGGAGAGAGAAGGGGGACCCTCGGGGGCAATCACCTTGGGGAGAATATACTATGAACCATAAAAACAGTGAATGTCTTTGACACCAATCTGTAAGTGCGTGGCAGTCATGAAGTAATCAATGGCCTGCCACTGATGTTTATTATTCTGCCACACTAAATACAGTAAGGCTCATCGTACTTTTAGAACACAAACAGTTTCATAAAGTATAAAAACTTAAAGCATTGTCCCCATGTATTTTATAAAAACAAAAGGAAAAACTTTCTGACATTAAAATAAGTGCTGAAAAGATACAAATGAGTTATTGAGCAAATAAAAACAGGTCTGAGCTACTCCTTTTCAACCCAATAAGGCTCAGCAACAACGTATCTTTCAGATTACCAGCGTTGGGGGGGGGGGGGGGGTGTGCTGGACGAGGGGGTGGGGACTCAACTCAGCTCACAAGTTTTGGCAACACTGTCCTCTGCTGAATATTCCCATTGGCATCTGTCATCTGTGCCAAATTAGTCCTCAGTTTGGAAGCTGAGCTGGAAGGTGGAGGTAACTTGGAAATCGAGGTGATAGCACCAGTGCTCTCCGTCAGCCTTTTCACTGATGTCTTTTCCCCAGTGGGAGGCTTTGGCAAGCGCCTCCTGAGCCAGGGATGCCGCAAAGCCTGGCCAGGGGTCATGCGCACTGCAGGATCCCATTCCAAACACTGTTTTAAGAAGTCAAGGAAAAGGGGGTCATCACACCCCTTCAATGCGTTCCCCCACTCTCTGCTCTCCGGCGGGCCCCTCAGTTTCCCCCTCCGGGACCGGCCGCCATTGAGAACCACAGAACCGTCCGAGAGGGTCGTGACACTGCAGTACCGGGGATAACCCTTGGAGCTCACGAAATTTTTGGCTCGTTTGGACGCATCCAGCAGTTTCTGGGAGGGCATGCCCAAGAGCTCGATCATACAGGCGAGCTGATCCCCTTCGTCTTCCCCGGGCAAGAGGGGGTACCCCGTGAGGAGCTCCGCGAGAATGCAGCCCAGGCTCCACATATCGATGGGCATGCCGTACCTGGCACCAAGGATCACTTCGGGAGCCCGGTAGAAACGGGACTGGATGTACGTGTAGACACGCTGATGCTCGTAGCAGCTGGAGCCGAAATCGATCACTTTGATACCACTTCTACCCTGCTGCTTTAATAAGATGTTCTCGGGCTTAAGGTCACAGTGAATGATTCTGTTTTTGTGCAAAGCATCCAAGCACTGCAGGATCGAGTGGGCAAACTTGCGAACCAAAGGCAGGCTGAAGCCCTGGAACTTATTCTTCTTGATGAGCTCGTACAGGTTCATGCTCAGCAGCTCAAAGGTCATGCAGATGTGGTTGCGGAAGGTGAAGTTCTCCAGCATGTGGATGACGTTCATGGTGTTGTCCTTGTCCTGCTTCCGCAGGTGCTCCAGGATCCGGATCTCTTCCGCCGCCTGCCGGTGGAAGCGCTTCTCATTCCGCACCATCTTCAGGGCCACGTGCTGGTGGACCTTGTGGTCGTAGGCTTTGACCACCTGCCCGAAGCTGCCCTTCCCAATGACCTTGAGGACCTCGTACCTGTAAGCCACGTGATCGTGGGGCACCTGCACATACGAACCCTGGTCATCGTCGTAGCCACCGTTGTTGGGCCCGCCAGTCATGCCCTGGCGCTTCTTGGCGTTTGGACCCAAGAAGTAGATTTCAGGGTAGCTGAAAATCTCGTGGTGTTCAAAGGTGGTGAGTTTTTGCATGTATTGCTTCATGGCCTGCTCAGGGGACATGGGGGCGGCCTTCACCTTCCCCAGCCCCTCCATGGACTTCAGGGAGGTGGAGCTGCCCTGTCGTCGATGGATGCTCTCCAGTTGCCGCTCGGGAACCACGGGCAAGCCCGCCTTGCCCATGGGGGCCAGCCCGTTCGGCTGTGTGGTGAGCACTGTCCTCTTGTTACTGTTGTCCTCAAACAGCTGCTGAACCTGGATCTGTCCATGGCTGTGGCTGCTGACGTGGAGGTGATCATTCATCGTGTGCTTGCTGCCGCCAATCTGCAAATGGGAAAGGACATATGAATGGAAGGGAGCAAGTCTGTCCGGTTGAATGGGGTAACTGGAGGTAGCCCTCATCCCTCACCTTCACGAACCCTAATCTGGCTGGAATCAGAATCAAATTTAGGAAAGGGGAAGAGCCTCATGCCAAAGAGGGACCCTCCCAGGACTCCCCAGCAGGGAGAGAAGATGGGACAGAAGAAAGGAGGCAAGAAGGGAGATAATGGACTGCATAAGGAACCAAAACTTAAGTTCCTGAAAAATGACCCCACACCTGCCACACCTAAAAAGATAATCGAGATATATACGTGGGTCCTGTAAGTGACCCCGGGCATGGAAAACCTCCCTCTCCAGAACAATACCTGACATGCTGTAGGGTCTGGCACATTATCGGCTATCCAGCTAGCCCACATTTGACATAAAAATGCCACAGGAGACGGACTGGCACAATACAGTGGTCAGTGCATACCTGGCATACTCACAACCCTGGGTCAACCCCAGGCACCACAAGGGCTCCTTAGCATATTCAGGCGCTGCTCTGGAGACCCGAGCACCACCAGGGGGTGCCCAGGTAATCCCGGCACAGCCAGGCTGAGCAATGCCACATGCCCTTGCCTTGACCTGACGGTCCAGTTGGCCAAGAATTGCTGGTAAGAATCCCAGGCTTCTGGGCACTGCTTGGGAGCCTCCCAAAGTCACAGGATACCGAAAAAGCATGAATGCATGGTTACCATAGGTTTTCCCTCTCCTGCCTCACTTCAAAGGCAGGGGACCATACCTGACTTGCTTACTCATTTTTTTCCAATGTCTATCTTTCACTTATTTGAAAATACTATTAGCTTCATTCTCTGTCTTCTCTATGAGTTAAAAAGCTAACTGATTGCACCACAAATGACCCAGGGGCAAAGAAAATGGTACTTTTTAATCTTGAAAGAGTCCCACAAAGACATTCACTGCAGCATCTTGTAAACCCCTAACCTATTTTTAAAAGTTCCTGAGACTCACTGACTGTGATGACCATTTAAGGCCATTTAGCATAACACTCCAACCACCACACTCTTCTGGGCCTTCATTTGGTCAATGGCTTAGCTCTCTGAAGACATGTATTTCTCTGGGCTGCTGGGATACTCAGCTTTCCAACAAGGAAAATAAAGCAGTCATTCTATTTCAGGCACGCAGGCCATCCCTGAGCATTCCTGAGTAAACAAAACTGATGGTGTAAGCCAACAGGTCCCCAGTCTCCTACTGAAAACCTACTCAGGATTCTTTCGAGCATTAATACTGCAAAGAGGTGAAGGGTGGGGATGACGAGCACCAGGACGCCCTCCCAGTTAGGAAATTTTGCCAACCTCAGACAAATCTTAAAGTCCCAGGGCTGGTGAGATGGTACAGTGGTTCAGGAGCCTGCTTTGCATGTAGCTGACCCAAACTGATCTCTGGCATCCCGTAAGGTCCCCTGAGCACCACCAGGAGTAACTCCTGAGTGCTGAGCCAGGAATAAAGCCCCAAGCATCAATACCAGACGTGGCCCCAAACAAAACCAAACCAAAAAACAAATCTTAAAGAGTACTCTGGTAATGACTTTTATATCACAAAACTTAAAGATCTGTCACTCTCAACCCCTGAGTCATTCAACTCATACTAGACAAGGTGAGCCTTCTCAGGGCTACCAACAACCAGCTAAAGCCCTTTGCCACTGGATATCCTTCCAAATCCTACCTTTTGGCTTTCTATGGTATTGAAGTAGTACATGTGCCTGGCTTCACACAGTAACTCAACAGATGGAGTGGAACTACCTGGAATCATTATCAAATCAACTTCCAAGTCCTCCTTACCAATCAAGATGTTCAAGGACTCCTTAACTAATACCCCTTTTCCACAGATAATATCTGCACAGGACTATGTGGATAAACACTGCCCGCTACTAAAAACAGCAAAAGAAGAGTATAGCACATGAAACTTCTTTCATGTAATTTCATAGACGGAAGTTTTTTTTTTCTCTTTCTTTCTCAGATTGCATTCACTAAAACTCAGGTGGGGGAGGGGTGGCGGCAGTGAATTCAACAGGCTGAGGGAATGCTTAGATCCCAACACTGCACAGTCCCTAGAGCCCCACCAGGCCCCATCCCCTAACCCAGCGAAACTCCCTGGCACCACCTGGTTTGGCCCAAACGAACAAAACCCCTCAGAGGTGGTATTTCATTTCCTGCTAACTGAGCTTATCTTCAGTAACAGCAACTATACAGGCTCTATCCTCACCCTACAGGAAAGCAGAGCAGTCCATAAAAGTGACCAGAGAAAGTGTTCGGTACTTAAAAAAAGCAGCACAGGTTTGTCCAATTACTTTTGTTTCCAAGTCTCATTCCACTACCTTTCCTCCCCACCTTGATGGTTCAAATACTAGGGAAGAAAGGATCTGAAGTTCAAAATAAACCTCTGCTGGAGAATCAATCTTCTTCAGGGAAGCATGGAGACATTTCAGAAGCCAAACCAACACTGCAGTCAACATGTTACAAAAAGCCTAAGAAAAGTTTCATTAGGGACAAAATTGGCTTGAGGAGCTCTTTCAAAGATAGCAAAGAAAAGTTTTGCCTATTTCACAGCAATGTTTGTACCTGCAAAATTAAAACAACACCAACAAAAGTTCAGTGACTGGAACTAATGAGCTTGCCAAATGGCTAAATCATCTCACCTATTTGGTCTTCTCTTGGTATCCAAAGAGTATCAACCACTGCCAGTAACTGACTTACCTGGAGGTGTCTCCAGGTCTTCTCCCTGACCACAGCCAGAGCAGACACTGATGGTAGCAACCACAAATGCGGTGGCATCTTTCTGCCACACCAATCCCGGGAGCTCAGACTTGCCCAGCCATTATCTCTCGAGCCCATCTAGTCAGGCTCATCTATCTCAGATCACACACTCTTCTTTCCTTGCCCACAGGCAGCGTAACTCGTGATTTTCCTACCAGGGCCATTTCCTCCTTCCACAATCCTCAACTGCTGATCAACAAAAAGGTTTTACCTGTACAGAGTCACTCAAGCTGTGGACCTGGAGCTCCTCCATCACATCATAACATCTTCTTCACCTTGCCAAGACCATTAGTACCACAATTTTTTTCGCTGGAAAAAACAGCCTCTTCACATGCACCCTTGCTTCTAAGTCTAGAATTCTTCCAACTCTGGGGGACTGCTTCAAACTATCCATCTAACACTGTCCTTGCATGCTCAGGGCCCCCAATGGAACTCCATTTGCATGGATAACATGAGTACTTATAGGCAAGAACACAAAGTTCTAAAATGTAGAATCCAAATGGTCTGCGTCCTTCGGGTTTCAAGGGCCACTGCCACCCTTTTCAAGTTACTATATCGAATTCCCCAACACCCATGGAAACACGGTCCCTTTTCACACTCTTCTCATTTCAGTGAGGTCATGTTTCATAATCATTCGGAGTCCAGGGATTTTCAATTACACACATGGGAATGAATCCCAGCTCTACTATTTACTGTGCATCCTCAGGCAATGGGCTGAATCGCTCTGAACCTCAGTATTTTCAGTAAAAAGCTAAGAAAATTACCTCACTAGGGCTTTGAGAAGGATTACATTAGGTACTGAGTCTTTGCTTTGGTAGCATTATTTTGGAGTTTTCTGGGTGCTATTTAATATCCCCTTCCCTCACATGTCTGGGTGGCCAACTCCAATTCATTCTCCAACACTAAGTTTCTCTGTATAAGATACTCTTTTGTTTGTTTTGTTTGGGGGGTCACACCCAGTGATGCTCAGGACTCACCCCTGGTTCTCAACTCCAGGACTGTTCCTGGTGGGCTCTGGAGATCACCCGGAGTGTCGGTGATTGAACCAGGGTCGGCTATGCACAAGGTAGCTTAGCCTTTTCAGACACTTTTACCTCCTCTGTGAAATTTCCCTCACCTACATAAACTTCAAGCAGTATTATGTTTACTTCATTTTACTGCATTTGTTTTGTAGCTTGATGTACCCACTTGACTAGAAGTTCTAGGGTGGGGCCACTTCTTATCTTTGTAACTAAAGCTCAAACATATGTGCTCAACAAGTACCTACTACATGAGAAACAGGTCAATAAATCCTCCTTCCTTGTCCCCTCTCTGAAACAGTCCTAGGAGCAACATACATACAAAAACATGAAGTTAACACTAGGGAACTGGGATCTGTCCCCGGTGACCCAAGTCACATGGTACTAGGCTCCCAATGCAGAAGTCAACCGAGTGCCGGTTAGACAGTGCCTGTAGCAAACATACTCATTCAATACATAAAAGCAATGTGTAGACTCTGAAATTTTCCAGATCTTAAGTACACTCACTGGAGAGTCTCTAGAAAAGGAATGAGTCTCAAATACCCTAGGATTCTGAAATTATAACCAAACTTAAATGCACAATTAATTGATCTATAAAGGTGGGAGGAACTACTAGAGAAAACAACACATTTTCAGAACACATAACTGCAGGCTGAATTATAAACTGAGGGATTAAAAAAAAAAACCTCACTCCCACCACTCAAGTCTTGAAGCTGAGATGGGCTTCCTCCTATTTGCAGAGGCCTCACATAGTGCTGGTCATGGTTAAAAACAGACACTCACTGGTGAAGGGGTCAGTGTAGAAGCTCTACAACTAGAAAATAAGTTCAATACCACAGAAAACTATGATAGCTCAATAAAATATTAAAAATTAAAATGTAAAAATTAAGCATAATTTTAAAATAGAAATATACACCAAGAGCTAGAAGATAGCTCCAAGAAAACGCTGGCAGGCAAGCCTGGCACTCAGCCCTTCGTTCAATCACTAGCACTGATTGGCGAGGGCCCAGTGGCCCCCAGCAACAACATTTGGTCCAGCCCGGTGGGCTGAAGACTGATGGGAGTGGCCCTGGAGTTTCCTAAGCATTGCTTGGGAGGTCTGAGAGCTAAAACTTGCAAGGAATGAATAGAGTTGCCAGATACATCTGAGCGCCTTCTCTAACGATGAGACATTTTAGTAAGAAGCACGTGAAAGCAACAGTCTGACCAGTTTAATGGTTTTAATCTCTTCTAATATTGAAACAAAAATCGCAAAGATTCTATTGTGCTAATAGTCTGGGTGCTTGGACACTTTTCTGACATCTTAGAACTGAGTCCAAAAAACCTGGAATTTTAGAACATCCCCAAATGAAGGTCTGACTGTGTGACTCAGAATTAAATATCTTGTTTTTCTTCTTCAAAATAAAATTATTTTAAAGCGTTTGGATCTAATTACTTATTAAAACTAAAAAGGGTCATTGGAGTGCTTTACACATTAAGGCTGTTATTAAAGTGAAATGCTAGCATTTTGAAATTTTAAAAAGAAACATAGGAGCTGAAGCAATTGTACAGTGCATAAGGCATTTGCCTTGCACACAGCCAACCTGGGTTAGAACCCTGACACTCCAAATGGTCCCCCGAGCACCACCAGGAATCATCCCTGAGTGTAGAGTCTGGAGTAAGACCAGACAGAACACACTGGGTGTGGCCTTAAAACCAAGTAAATAACAATAAAAAAGAAATATTATAGTATCTCCCTATGTATTTCAAGAAAAATAAATCTAACCAGCACCAAGATTATTAGGTACACTATTGAGAATATACATTAAATAACAGACTCCAGGAGATAGGGAACTGAAGGGCAGTGGACCAGATAAACCTCAAAGTTTATAATCTCTACATTCACATAGTTCCAAGGGAAAATATGTCCAAGTTGCTACAAGATCATATTCCTCTCCTTAGTGTCTGCCCACCACCATTCATTCTAAAATAGCTCTTCCCAGCTGTTATTGCTGGGAAATTAAAAACTAAGTATTATAAAAAGCTGAAAGACATATGGGAATATGGATCTACAAAGGCTCTTGCATCGATAATGAGATGAAAAACTTTCCTAGAATTAGCAATGTTGAGAAGTCGGCTGAAATCAGACACGGGAGGCGGTAGGGCTGGAGCTCCAGCCTTGATGTCAACTGGCTTGGGAATCTTAACCAAACCAGCGAATGTGTCCAACTATTTCCTCATCCGTGGACCAGATAAACACTATGGCCTTTAAACTTGCCTCTTCGGTGCAACCTGCAATGCTGTGCATAATCAAAACTTAAAAACAAACAAACAAAAAACACCGAAAACCCAATCCATTCTGCCCAAATCAAACGCTTGATAATGAAAAGCAGGTATGTCAGACAGATGCCAAGACAGAATACAGGCTTCCTTCCCGCTAACCCCACTAACCCCAAACCTTCCACATACTGCACCCCACAGGTTCCCCCAATGGAGACCTGTTTTCTCTCATCTCTACACATTTCCATGCCAAAAGAGTTCTGGTCAAGTCAAGCCCACCCTTAGGAGACTGGAATTCCAGCCAGCTGCAAAGCAAGTATTTCTCCCCAAGTCACACCAAATCATGTGATTACATCACACATGGAAAAAACCTAGATGTTAGATTTTCCAAATGGTCCCATGATTCCAAACCAAACAAGCCCAAACCCCTAAACTCTTCAACTAAAACATCAGAATGACAACATAGTATCGGATTCTCTCCCACCATCTGCACTTCCAACACAACACTGGTTCTGTCCTGTGAACCTTTAGCTGGTGGGTCTAGTTGTCTAAGGAGGGGGGGGGAGGTTGGGAGAGGGAGTGGGGGAGAGGGGAGGAGAGTGGAAAGAGAGAACAACAAAACATTTTCCCATGGAACTTGCTCGCTTGCCTGGAAGTCTCAGAAGAGGCAGAGCATTCTAGCCATCCTCTCACACATTCTCTGGTAAACAAGTTTCTCCACCACACACCCTCCAAGTCGGTCCTCTGAGGTTTGGAAATCATCTTTTCTATAAGAATTCAACTTTCACTAAGCAAGCAAAGCCCAGTCCCGAGGCAAGCTCCTTCACCCTGTTAGACAACTCCTCTGCAAGAGGCTCTGTCTAGGCTGGAAGTCAGACCTGAAAACCATCACCTCCTCCAGGTTCGCACCTCCTCCAAGCCGGCAGTGACCATCACAGGGCCATCTCCGGAGACTAAGCAAAGGTGCGGCGGGGGCAGGTGGGATCCAGTCTGCCAATCTCTGCAGTCTCCAGGGGCTGTCCGCTTTTGCCGGCCCTCGGCGGAGCATCTGGCATTTGCCAAACCCTCCCGCTTCCAAAGCCCTTTCCTTTTGAAAAACATTCGACGGCAGAAGCCTACAGGGGTGGCTTGTTGTTTTGACTGCTGCCGTGGCTCTTATTTTTGTTCACGTTAATTACAATTTCTGCTGTGCTCAAACCTGTAGCACTCATAAAACATGCTTCCACACGCGGGGGACAATTGGCGATGCTCCCTGCTCTGCAAGGAGCCAGACCGGGGAGGTTCTTGGGGGGTGAGCGGGGGGGATCGATTTTTCCGCGCGACTGCCTGGCAGTCCCCTCACCCAGATCTGGTTCTATAAATACCCACGTCCCAACGTGGTGCGTGGGGGTGGGGGTGGGGGATGCTAACGCTGCCAGGGAAAGGCGGAAAGGCGCTCTGGTTTTGCAAGGACACGGAAAGAGGGAGTGGAGAAGGAGCTGCGAGGAGGAGGAAGTTCCCAAGAAGAGGAGCCCTGGGGATGGGCGGGCTCCAGAGGGGAAGTGAGGGGCCCACGCCAGCCACCGATCTTCCTTTGTGGCTGCAGCTCTGGACTGGCCCAAGTTAAGGAAGGCGGCGCCCAAGCGAGGCCACCACCCCTGGATCTGGGCACGGACGCTTGCTTCCTCTGGATCTTCTCCCAGGCGTCAGAACCTGAGCCTGAGGGTTTCAGCCAGCCCGCCCCGCCCTCCCCGAACCAGCACCCCAGCCCCCCACCCGGCCGCCAGCGCAGAGGGTCTCACCGTGTGCGCTGCGGCAGCAGCGTTGCTGGAGCGGAGAGGTGGCAGGGCTATGGGCGAGGGCGGGCCGGTGCCCACTCCGCTGCGGGGCGCCCCGGCCCCGAGCCCCGGCGAAGCCTGCAGCTGGCGAACGGCGCTGTCCCCTCCTCGGCCTGGGAGCCACGCGCGGGAGGAGACAAAAGAGGGTCAGGGGTGGGGGGGGGGGAGAAAGTCACCCGGACCCCGTCGCCCCGCCCCGCCCCACCCCTCTGGGCAGCTCACCCAGCTCCCTCTCCCGAGGGACAGGCTCGGGGTGCGTAAAAACGCCGGGGCGCGCTCGCCCGGGGGAGGGGGGGATTGTGCAGGGGCGCCAGGCACGGGGCGCAGCTCGGACATCTGCAAAGTTAAGTCAGGCCCTGCGGCGCGAGTTCGCGCCCCCGCCGCGGAGCGGGCCTGGGCCCGGGGCTCGGCGTGGCACGGAGCCAGCGGCCGCGGGCCGGGCGGGGGTGGCACGGCCGAACCCCGGGCGCGGGGAGACCCCCGATGCGGGGGCTGCACTAGGAGGATTCACGGGGCCCGCGTGCAACAATGAGCCGAGCCGCGGCCGAGGGCGCGCCGTGCGCCCCGGGCTCCCCTCGCCGCCGCGCCCCGGCGCAGACTTTGTTCGCTGTCCCAAGGCGCCACGAGGGCCCGTTCGCTGGGGGCCGGCCCTGCTTACCGGTCGGGTAGGCGGCGGGAGCGGCGGCCGAGGGTTTCCTGGCTAACATGGCCGCTGGAGAGGAAAATGCATTTCCAGGCTGCCGTCTCCGCCGCCGTCCGTGCCGCTGCTACTTGGCGCGGCGGGCGCCGCCGCCTCGGGCTCGTCCCTCCCGCGCTTCTCCGGCGCCTGCTGGCCGCCTGGCGTCAGCTACGGCCAGACACACACAGTCCGCTGCATCCCCTCGGCCGCGGCCCGTCGCCGCGAGCCCCCCGCTCTCCTCGCCGCCGCCGCCGCCGTCCTCCTCTTCCTCGGGCGGCTGCAGCACCCCCCGGCCCGTGCACATGCCTCGCCCTCCCCTGCGCGCCGCCGGCCTCCCCGAGTCCCTCACACCGGGCGCGGGGAAGCGGGCAGCGCCGCGAGCACCGGCCGAGCAGCTCCGGAGCCTCGTCCCGGGCTCGCTCGCTTGCTCGCTCGCTTGCTCGCTGCCGCGCGCGCGCCCCCGCGCACACTCGCGCGGGCGCGGGCGCGGGCGGGCGCGGGCGCGCGGCGCGGTCCGGGAGGGCAGCCCCGCCCCCGCTCCTCCGGCGGCCCGGGCAGGCCCCGCCCCGGACTCCCCCGCCCCCTCCCCCGCCTCCCTGCCCCGCCGCACACACACGCTCGCCGGCACCCCACCCCCACCCCGCCACCCACCCACCGGAGTCCCGCCCCCCACCCCATCATCTGCATAGCCACCCCTCCACTCGCCGGGAAACTCTGCAGCCCCGCCGCCCGCCGTCTCCCCCTCCAGCTTTCTGCACCACTCCCCTCGGCTCCCCTGCTAACGACCTTTTCCCCTCGGCGGCGGCCTCTCCAGCGCCCCCCCTGCTGCACCCCTCCTTTTCCCTACAGCGCAACCTACCGCTGCTGTCTTCCTACCGAAATCGCTGCAGAGACCCCTCCCCTTTCCATGCGCGCCCCCAAACACCAATGCATTTGCAGCTTTTCGAACCTCAGGGCTGCCCACAAACAATACTGAACCTCCCCCCCCCGCTCCCCGGCCACACACACCCACCCCACCGCCCCGCTCCCAGTGCCTTCACCGCCTCATCTCCCCGGTTTAGCTGGTAAATAACTTTACTTGTGCCAGGGTCACCTCGGTCAGTCAAGCCCCGGAGGAGGACCGCCGCTTAGCCCGGTGACCCCGAGGGTGGGCGAAGGAGGGGACTGCCCCCCTGCTCCCCCTCCACCACACACGCTCGCCCCGATTTCCCGAAACCAAGTGACCGCTCTCCAGACGCTAGGACAAGGGGAGGCCGAGAGGCGCGCGTGGAAGGCTGCTGGGGAAGCCGTTGGCTGTGGGTTGCTAGGCAAAAATAAACATCCGAGACACCTCCCAGTTTTTTACAACTCCCAACCCTGCCCCGGCGCGGCCGCAGGGAGAGACACACCTTTTTGTGAGCTCTGCGGTAAGGGCGACACCCCTTTAATTCCTCTCCCCCAAGTCCCCTTTCCCTCCCTAGACACGTGGAGGATTCCCCTCCCCGTTTCCTATGCCGCGTACTGCCACTTCTTTGCAGAAAGACGGCGAAGCTGCTTGCCTTTTTGACACCCGCGCCCAGTCGCGTGGGGCGCATACCTGTGTCCAAAGGTCACGGGTTTTGTCACTTCGACAGTTAGGGCGGGGGTGGGGAGCCGGGGGGAGGTGAAAGCCGGGGGGATCCCGGGAGTGCCGCAAGGCAGACGTCTAGCTCTGCGGAGCTCTTCCTTCCGGAGACCCGGGGGATTCCGAAGTTGTGCTGTGTGCTTGCCTCCCGGTACTCAGCTGGGAGTGTCTAGCGGGCCCCTTGCTGGACACGGGTTTGAGGCTGGTGCAGACCGCTTCAGAACAGCCCCATGGCTCCTGCTGTTTGCAAATTGTCACAGCACGTCCACACCCCATAGTCCTCAGTTTGAAAAAAAAAAAAAACTTGCAAATTTGGGATTTTTTAAAAAAAAGGCCCAAACCTTGGAGTGTCAAAGGTACAATACTCAGCAACTCCTTTCGTCCCCACCCAAGGGGGGAGTATTTTAGAATTGGGGACTTTGGCAAAGGGAATAGACCACAAAGAGAATTTCACATTGTACTTTGCTCTTCTCCCCCACCCTTCAAATCCCCTTGGTACCTTCTAATAAAGTTGAAACACCGTGAAATAATCCAATTATATTCTAATCTGATCTGGGGGTGAACAGCTCAAAGGATGGAGGGCGACACTGCAGGAGGAAGACATTACCCGCCTCGGGAGAAGCCCCTCCCCCAGCTCCAAATTTCCCTTCGCTTGTCTGCAGAGGCTCAAGCAATTCGTTCATTTGGGGAAATGTTTAATGGTCAGAACTAACGCAAGGAAAAGGAGCTACCAAGGAGCAAAGGCAAAGTTAGAATTTATTTCTTGCTTCTCAGTGTAATTCCTCTATAGTGTAATTCCTCTATATTTTCTATCACAGCAGATTGGGTTTTCATGAACTCTCACACCTCTTTTCCTCTCTTCCCTTTTAAAACATTTTCATGCCATTTTTGTGTTTTAATGAATATTCCACAATACTAATGTTCAGATTTAAAATTTTAAAATATAACCTGATACCCCTTTTCACTTATATTACACTTGCAATATATCAATAACTTAAGATACTACTAAGTACTCTGCTTTTTCATGAATAAGAAACATGCTAGCAACTGGAGCTGTAGGTTGTGAAATCCAAATTAATATTAATTTACACATTACGCATGAGGAAAAAATAACATGACCTTTCTTAAAAAGCAGTCACAAAGAATCATTAATTTTAATTAAAGAAAGAAAAATGTATGTATTTAGGGAACTTTTCCTAGTATATTGTTTTCTGAGATACACATAATTTTAATTATATATACTTTTACCTTTTAACTTTAATTTGCAATCAACCTAAACTTTAACTATTTTTAAAGGTCTATCTTTCAAAATTACTTTCTTCCTGATATAGGAATTAGTATTTACAATTGCTTAGATTACTCTCATTCTGTTGCGTATTGATGACTTCAACCTGAATTAATATCAAATAGAAAGATGTACTTACAAATACACACCTTAAGCTTTCAAGAATGAACTAGATATATTCTAGGAGTTTTAACCCTTAAACTGCTATTGCAATGCAGCATTATTAATGATGCTGTACGTTCACTTCTTTATAAAACTCTTTCACAGATATTGCCATATGTAGTATTCACAATTCATAACCTGGCAGGAGTTGCATTGATTAAATAGTAACCTCCTCCTGGGACTCCATTTAGTTCATAAAAATCTGGTCTTTGGTTCTGGCCTGTTGTAAAAACTACATCTGTTCTGTATGTTTATAAAATCCAGATCCAAGTAACAAGTGGGTAGGCAGGATGTGGCAGGATTAGAGAAAGGGGGAAAAAACAACTTTGGGAACTCAGAATGGGACCAGGTGGAAGGAAGCTGAGTTTTTCGCTGGGAAATGGACCGATTACAGAGAACATTGGAAATGAGCAAGAAAATTGCTGGTTTCAAAACACATTCACTGCTTTAATCCCTTTATCCCAGAAACATTTACAAAGAATTTAGTATGTGCTGAGCCTAGGGGATGTGATGAGTCATCAGATGCAGTGGGCTAGGATTTTAGTCTGGAAATCTACTACGATCTAGTTCTTGCATTGAATTAAGCAATTGACGGTAAGTATCTCCCGTAGTTGGAACGGTGCTGGTTCAAGGGCTGCACGGTGAACTAAGTGGTCCTGGGTTGAGGTTATTATTTGAACTTCACAGTGTACTAAAGGAAATGACTTTGTTATTATTGTTATTATTTTTTTGGTGAAGCAGGATCATTTTTATCGAAATTATTTAGAAAGATGTGAAAGGAGTGAAAGGTAGAAGTGTTATGTTCAAGAGAAAGCACAGAATGACAAAACAGGATAGTCTCTCAGTATCTATATTGCAAACCATTATACCCCAAAGTAGAGACAGAATAATAAGGAAACTGTCTGCCATAGAGAAAGAGGGTAGGGTGGAGTGGGAGTGCTGGGAGGGGTACTGAGGACACTGGTGCTGGGAAAGGTATGTGGGTGGAGAAATGAGTATTTGATCATTGTACGACTGAAAATCAATCATGAAGACCTTGTATCTCACAGTTATTCAATTAAAAAAAATTTTTTTAAAGGAGAGCATAGTTCTCCAGAGTGGAAATAGGCAAGCAAAGAAATAGAAATAAGTCAATGAGATACATATTCAAGGGGAAACATGGGCTTGCAGAGCCCAAAGATGACTTCATTGTAGGACAGGACTGGACTTGAAGCTTATAGGAGACACCATCGTGGAAAATAGGAGGGCATGAAGACCTCTACCTCAGTGACTGGCATCAAACGGGCTGTGCACTAGTGAAGGCTTCAAATATGATAGAATATGCTAGTCAGATAAGCCAACCAGAGCACTAAGAGAAAAGAAAGTAGGATGAGGCAGCAAGGTATAAGAAAGCGTACTGTATTCTAGGAGAGGTAGAGTGGCAGGAAGAGGGGGGCATTCTTATTCTAAAGCTAGAGTTAAGGGCGGTTGAGTTGGATTAAGAATGATCTGAAACCAAATGGGAGACTAACACCCAAGAACAAGAACAGGAGATATAAGTACCAGGAGGATTAGAAGCCAGCCTCGCATGCTGGGGGAAAAGGCAGCTCAGATAGAGAAGGGACCACTAAGTAAAGGGTGCTAGGAGGGCCCACTCGGTATGGGAGATGCAGATGGAAAGTAGACTACAGACCGAACATGATGGCCACTTAATACCTCTACTGCAAACCACAACACCCACAAGGAGAGAGAGAACAAAAGGGAATGCCCTGCCACAGAGGCCAGGTCGGGTGGAGGGGAGAGGGTGGGGTTGGTGGTTGGTGGGAGGGATGCTGGGACCATTGGTGGTGGAAAACGGGTATTGGTGGAGGGATAGGTACTCAAGCATTGTATAACTGAAATGCAAGCACGAAAGTTTGTAAGTCTATAACTGTACCCCACGTTGATTCACTAATAAAAATTTTTTTAAAAAAAAGAATGATTTGAAACCTTAACAGTAATGAGAATGTGCAAACAACATATGAAGAAAGACTTTTCAAAGAACTAGATAATGTTCTTTGAAACATTCATTATGTGAGACCTATGTGCCATGCGGTCTAGCACCCTTTAGAACACCATTGACTGCTGGTGGCTTCCACATGCGTTTCCCTCTCTGGTCATTGTTCCCAAGGAAACCAAGAAGAGAGTTCTATACCATGGAAATCTAGTGATCTGAAGAGTCTGAGCATGCTTGGCTTAGAACACTTTCTAAGTCAGTTTCTTAATGTTAGGTGGAGCAGAGAGCATTTGTCCTAGAGCGCAGGGAAGGTAACTAGAAAGGCAGGGCACATTGTTTGGTATTTCCTGAGAGTGACGATTTGCTTTTTCTATCTAAATCCCAAGTTCAGAGTAAATGTTGAAA